TAAGTTATTACTGAACTTTTTTTTTTTAATATTTACTTGGTTTGAATAATATAGTTTCCGTCACCTGCCTGCGCATGTGCTACTTCGAGATCGCACATAATTCAAAATTAATGCTTAAGGTTCCTCTCCTTGATGCTCAATCTTGTTCATATCGTCGGCACCATGCTAAAGTAATGAATATGGAAAATCGCATTTTCAAATTCATTGGTTTACCAGAGTACTCCATGGTCCAACTTGCGGCGAATTGTCGAATCTGAACGGCGACTGGAAGACCGGAATCAGTAATGTAATTTTTACGACTTTATAGCTTTCCTAGATATGTACATGTTGTAATAACAAATATTCATAATCGAAAGTTTACATTGGGCGAATTCACATTCGTTACTTTCTCATGGTGCCGATGATGTGTCGGGTATAATCACTAGAATTTACAACTTAACCAAACATCCAAATTTGTGAAAACAGAGCTTACAACCTCAAGTCCATCAGTTTGAATTAATTCATAGATTCTATAAATAATAAAATACTCAGAAGATGGTTTTGGTGCGTTGCCAGGCACCTGATAACCTTCTTTTTTTTGGATAACCCCCCACCCACCATTTCTGGAATACCGATGGGGGAGGGGAGGTTCTTCTAGAGGAGGAGAGGTTCTTCCAGAGAGGTACAACCAAACCTATTCTAACCAGAGTGGGAGGGTCGAGTTTCATTCCGTGGGTCCGCCAAGAAACCTCTCCCAGGCCGGATTCGAGCCGTTCTTCGCTAGGCACCAGGATGCTAAAACGTCGAACACTCCAACACACTTGGCCATCACGATCTCAGGCAAGGAAGGGGATATCAAAAAATGTTGGCATTTTGGTGGTTGCTGCTTGGTAATGAGATAGGAATGAGTCAGATTATGCCAATCTGTAGGGATAATCTTAGTCTGGCTAAGACAACTTCTTCTCTACGGATAGGACGGCTTGATTTTGACCACGGCTTCACTGTTTTTTTAATATCTCTTAATTTACTTGACATAGATTGCCAGCTACGAAACATTTCTGTTTTGAGCGTAATACTTGTATCATGTGGCGTTAAAATGACAGCTCCCCGGGCTGGGTGGGTAAGTATTGCTTGGCAATTTCGACACCGAAATATGAAAGAACGTTTTTTGCGGGATCCCTGAGACGGCCGAATACATCCTAATATCCTGGTAATATATATCATAAGATGGAAGGACGCCGTGTGACATTGCTGAGAGGAATGGGAATGTATACCCTGCGGAAGAAGATTTTACCCGCTTGGTGGAGAAGGAAAATTACTCGCTCTTTCGGGATTTTGTATATGGGTAGAGAGATACGATCGGCTCTGTATATTTCTCCTTGGCAGCGTTAAGAAGACCACCTGAGGAGGCCGAAGAAGAACACTGAAGGACCGGACGGATGCGGTGCGGTCAAGGTGCGGCTCCATCCTAAAAGTGCACAACCCTGTACCGGGCCGCACCACAGTTAACCCAGTTATTTTTTATGTTCCAAAAATTATGTATAAATAAGAATAAATGATTATTAATAAAGTGTTGCTTATTGGCAGCAGTGGGCGTACGAGAACCCAAACGTATTAACTCACTGCTGCCAAAACTCCATATGGCAGCAATACCAGATAGGGTTAAAAAGATAACGCTTTTCCTAATGTTTCGGGCATATGGATTTCTAAAATAGTTGGCTGTTTTGGGTAAATTTTATTCATACCCTTGAATCAAAATAAATAAAACGCTTTCATTCTGACAGATGCAATCCGCTCAGCTAATTATGACAAAATAATTTTTACTACGAAAACTATTTACTGACATTTGGTTTTAAAAGTATATCATTTCAGTTTTTTTTACAAATAATTTATAATATTTAAACTTTAAGATGAAAGAAATACTAAAAAGAGAACTGGCCAACGAGGGACAGATGTAAGAGATATTCCCGTTTGAAAAACGACCCCGGTAGGTTGAGATAGAGCAGCTTCCCAATTACTGTCCCAGGCTTCAGTTAATTGATTCGTTACTGCCTTTGCTCCTGACTTCACAATTAAAATTCTGTTTTGTTTTTTTCATCTATACTTATAATGTATTATTCAGCCCTTTCTACACCTGATGGCTAAGAATGTAGTCAATTTTTTGTCTGTTCAAAAAATATTCGTTTTATCCGATATAAAAAGAAATTTTTTTTTTTTTATTATTTATTTATATGATATTTACAATTGTATACAAAAAATACGTCTGGTAAATTCGCTCATTGGTATAAAGACATGGAACACATGTTGAGAAACTACCCATTGGTAGCACTCTAATAATATGTCTATATTAGAAGATCACGTGGCCATCTTCTTTTCAGACGCCTCGGAGGGTTATCAGGAATCGAATAGGAAGCAAGGTTAGAGACAAGAGGGTTGGGATGGTTATGAAGTTTATTATGGAAGGACAGATAACCTGGATTAAGCCAAATCTGATACATAAGGAACATTAAGGTCATAATGGATAATTTTATTTGTAACAAAGTAAGGAGCATTGAGGATTTTATGAAGGATTTTGGATTGTAAGGATTGTATGCGAGAGGAATTTGAAGGTTTGGTGGAGCCCCATAGCTCAACTCCGTAAGTCCAAATAGGCCTTATTATAGTCATGTAAATCAGTCTTTTATAATTGATTGGAAGGTTAGAGCGTTTGTCTAGTAAGTGTTGAAGTAGTCGGAAACGTCGAGCTGTTTCTTGTCGTTTCACTCTGGTATGAGGATTCCTAGGTAACGGATTTGTTCAACAGGAATAAGTGAGGTGTTGTTAAAGGATACTGAAGGACAGGAAGTCATTGGTTTACGATGAAGGGTGAAGGTAATTTGATGGGATTTATTGGAATTTATTTTAATTCTCCAGTTCTGACACCATTCTTCAAGGTTTGTGATGTGGGATTGAAGGGTTTGGGATGCAATAGATGGGTCGTTATTAACTGATAGGATACATTTGTCATCAGCATATGTGGTGATGACTGTGTTGGGATGGGTTGGGATGTCAGCTGTATAAACTGTGTAAAGGATAGTACCTAGGATACTACCTTGAGGAACACTTGCAGACTGGGAAAAACGGGATGTATAGACATTGTTGTGATTTACTTTAAAGTATCTATCAGTAAGGTAGGAACGGTTAATGAGGAAGTAGGTAGATGGTAGGAATTTTCGGATAAAAAGAAAATAAATTGACTTCTATATACTTTAGTTTAAGGTGAGCTTGTAGATCGTTATAAAAGGTTTTGGCTATATTTATTCCAACATTTTAATTTTTAATTTTTTACACTGATAAAGTTAGCAATTAGTTTTAATACAAAACTGCGGCATTGTGTCAATAAGTTTATTTGTATATTAATTTGGTTAAAAAATAAAATAAGAATATCCTATCAACAAAATTACTGTCATTAAGGCAAGGTCAATGAGATAATAGTTTTTACTGAATTATAATTTTATTACATAAAAATAATGCTCATTGCGTTATGTTCAACATGTTAGTGTTCTGTTCTTAATTGGTTTATAGTATCTCTGGGGGTCTGCAGTTGGAAGATTACATACAGATAAATTATTGCTTATTTTATATACTATTGCTTAAAATATTAAAGGTATTGTTCCATTAGAATTAAATTTGCTTATGAACTATTTATAGAAACGTTGCCAGTGGAAAAGATGAAAAATAAAATTGTGGAATAAATATAGCCCAAATTTTTTATTTAAAATAAAATTATTTCAAATATAACTTATATTAAAAGTTAATAAATATTTTAATTTCCGATGTGTAATAGTTCTGTAAAGATTATATGAAAGTTTGTTTGATAATTGTTTTCTTTCCTTTTTGACTTGCTACAGCGTTCTCGCTCAATTTCTACTGTCTTTTGGTACACGCGGTTGAGAGAGTAGCGTAGGGATTTTCTGCACTTCTGCTTTTCCCTCCACATGTGGAACTTGATTTGGATTTCCCAAAGCTGATTGCAAACAGTGTATGAAAGTAAGTTTGAATTATTGAACTGTACTTATAATTAAGTTTATTTTATTTGTATTTATTGCCGCTACTTATGGTGATTCTCTAGACAATCAAATTTGACAAAATCTAAATTTCGTTCAGGAAATTTGACATCCGTGATGCTCCGCGGTCCTGTCGCCCTGTTAAGGCCATTGTTGGTCAAAATCCCGCAAGAAATTGGGCTAAAGATGTGTCTCGACTAAGCTACAAGCGACTAACACTTATTCCAATATTTTCAGAACTTCATGATTTGGAAATAATTCCAGAAAAAAACAGAATATCAAAAACCGCGTAATTAGATCAAGTTTTTGACAATAAATCCTAGAGGTTCTGAGAACGTGGCATTATGCAGTTACTACTAAAATGTGAACAGATAATACTTAATAATGGTCAATGCATTTTTTTTTTTGGATTCAATATTTTAATCATAGTTCTATTTTGCCAGTCAGGTCAATACATTATGGATCAAAACAAATTCGATGTCTATTATACTACTATTTTTTTTTTCATCATGAAAAGAACTTATTTGCTAAACCAATATTTTTCACTATTTCTGTCCAGAAATATTTAAAAATGTCTTAATTTAAACTTACTCCCTTCTATGTGATTGATTCATTTTATGATGATGGAGTATTATTTTTTTGAGATTACTAAAGTAACAACATGCATTTAATGATAAATCCATTGGACCCAATTTCTACCCTTATCATACTGTAGGATCTAAAAGTGATGGTACTACTATATCTTCTTGACATGCTCGGAAACTGCATGCTCCACCACTCACATGTTACCTAAACGATGGAAGAAGTGACTGTAGAGAAATCAAGGAAGGGGCTGAGGAAGTGAATCAATCGAAGAGGCGAGGCGATGCCCCCATAAATCTTAGAGGCCGTCCCTGAGAGATGAGGGGTTATCGGTAAAAAGCGGCTGTCAGGGGGTGGAAAGTCGGGACAATCTGTTAGCCCTGAGGGTTATTGATGGAGCTGATGTGTATTAATGATGCTTCTGATGGATGGTGGCCGCGCTATCATCAATCATACTCTGGATTAGCTGACGTCACTAACGAGGGGCGGTAATGCTCTGTCTCGAGTTACCTCGGCACTATATCTATAATAGATCTTTGCTTCTTCCTCTTTGTCTTAGCGGCTACCGGTGTCCTCTTTCGGCTCGCTTGTCCCAGTTTGTTTGTGTGGTAATTAGCTATACATCATGGCCAGCAGGCCTCTCTCGCTATTCCTTATGTCGAAGAAATACACGCCAAGGCTATGTTAACCGCCAGAAATAAACAATGCATTAATCTCCATTGATAATTAAACTGTAACTTCAATAATCGTTTAATTTGGAAATATGAAGATTATTGGGGCCTCCCGTTTAGTACCAATTAACGCATAACACATTTAATCAAATGGAGAACTCTTAATTATTTTATATGCAATGGCATATAGGTTTTTCTATTATTTGTTCACAATCGATCAATATTACTTAATAATAATTATTAGAACCTATACAGACCTCAAAAATTCACGTAACAGCTAAAAAGTCACGTTACAATCTAAAGAGCAGAAGGCTTTTTTTACCCAGGGTAGCAAGGTCATTAAAATCAACAAGATTATTCTAAGCATGATCACATACTGGGAAATATCCGATAATTTGCTGAAACGTTTAAGAAGTCCTGATTATTATTATTATATAATAATCATAATTATTACCGATACCGATAATTATTATAGGTATCAATGGATGGCAAATTACCACTTGCCTGTCAATTCAATATACCGTCTCATATTTCATCTGCATTCTTATACAGTCTCAGAGAGACATTTGTGAATGTAAAAGTCAATGAAAAATTTACATTGCGGTTTCCTGTACCTAGAACTAATCGACTAACCAGTCCAAATTACTAAAAACTATAGCAGTTTCTTATTTATTCTTCCAAACAGCTATTTTTATTCTTAGTTAGCATTAGTAAAACACCCAATAACAATACTAAATAGTAAGAACGCCTTCAGGTGTAAAAACTTAAATATTGATGTTCCTTTATTTTTTTTGCATTCATCAAGGTATACGATTCTGCCATAAATACTGTCACAAAAGTTGAACTTTGTTTACACCCTTGGGTATTAATTAGATAATCCTTACCTCTATCAAGTTATTTTCTTTATATTTCAGGATAATAATCTCAGTTAGTTTGTATTTTCGCTCAGTTAACAAGAAGAGGGTTGATAAAGGAAACCGAATAGCTGTGATCGCCTTACACAAAGTTTGAAAATGAAGGTCAGAAATTTTCAACACTTTGAAACCTTTGGGTATTAGCCTTATGTTCGTGTACCGCACTATAAATAGATGTAATGACACCCGATCTGTGACAGACGTCGAGCGGGTCCCCGCACTGTGAGAACTGCAAATACAATTAGTGCAGTGTCTGCTCGAATCACAAGAAATCCAATTCGAAAACAACAAATCATGTCTCGGGAAATGGGAATCTCCGTCAGATCACTGTCTCTCATTATAAAAAGTGACCTTATGATGAGTGTATTTCGAAGAATGACAGGTCAAAGGCTATAACTACTTCTCTAAAAAGAAATTAGAGTGGATAAATGCAAAGTGCTCATTGGCCCTTACACAAATGGTCTTCATCGAAAGATTTTGTTTAGCGATGAGAAAACTTTTACGATAGAAGAAAAATTTCATCGCCAAAATGATCGTGTGTACGTACGCAGCTCTAAAGAAGTCCAGAAATTCATTGGAAGAGTGGAAAGAGGTCATCACCCTTCCTCTGTGATGGTTTGGTGGGTTTGCTTTAATGGCACCACAAAGCTCCATTTTTATGAAAAAAAGAGTTAAAACAGCCGCTAAAAACTATCAGGACGATATTTTGGTAGCTGTTGTCAAACCTCTAAATGATACTCTATTTGCTGGAAGTCATTGGGTTTTCCTACAGAATTCCGCCCGAGGTCACAAGGCCATGTGAACTCAGCAGTGGCTGTCAAAGAACATTCCAGAATTCATCTCTGCCTCGGATTGGCTCTCAGGAAGCCCTGATCTCAACCCACTAGATTATCTAATTTGGTCAGAAATGGAGAGGATGGCATATCACTGAGCATACCCTGACTTGGAAAGCCTCAAACAATCTCTGGTCCTTGCAGTTGAGCGCTTTCCTCAAGAAGTGCTGCGTGCTGCTATTGATGATTGAACACGTTAAATGGCTGTGTCGAGGCAAAAGGGGGAAATTTTGAATAATTTCTTTTTTGTTTTACTCTCTATTGACATACATTTTATTTTCTAATAAAGTTTTTGAAAAAAATATTTTTTTTTCTGTTGGAATCTGTATATATTTTCTTGTAACAATATTTATGAAGGGACTAGGTAAAAATTGTTCTGACCTTGAAAAGACGAATTCGAAAATCCATAAATTAAAGGAATAATCATTTTACTGAGTATTTGTGTTACAGATACTATTTAATTTGTACTGTTGCAGTAGCTGACAGGTGTGAGAACGAGAAGGTAATTATGTGGAATCAAATTTTATATTCTTCGCTTTAAAATAGATGCTAACATAAATTGTATTTAATTTATTATAAAACTAACTCCTTGAGTTTCCGACTTAAATGTTTAGGTAAATGCAGGACACGTGTCAAACACCTGTTTCTGGCAATAGAAAAACATACTTTTACTTCGAATTTAATCCATATCACTAGGATTTTTTTTCCAAAGAGATTAATGGATTGTCCCATTTTTAAGACCCTTTTTATTAAGTACATTTCTTTGAACTAATGTGATTACAGGCCTGTCAGCTACTGACAAAATACTCCATTATAAGGCTCCAATAGCTGACACCCGTTTAATTTTGAATTATTTTAGCAGAAAAAGTTGTAAACAGATAATAATAATAATAAGGCTTAGCGAACCCGAAGGTTCGATGCCGACACCACCAATCGCTTGTTACACACCTCCCTCCACCGTTCGCCGTCCAAACCCAGTCCCTTCAGATCGGCTTTAATGCAATCTTCCCACCTTCGATTCGGTCTACCCCTCGGACGCTTACCATTCGGCACAGCAAATATTAACCTTTTAGGAATTCTCTCATTACTAAGTCCAACAACTTTACAAGCCCATTTGATTCGCCGCGATGAAATTACCTCAATTATATTACCCGGATACAGCTCACGCAATTCGGCGTTGTGTAACCGTCTGAACTCTCCGGTTAACTCATCCTTCTTCGGTCCGAATATTCTACGCAATACTTTATTTTCAAAAACCTTAAGACGCTGCTCATCCCTTAATGTAAGCGGCCAAGTTTCGCATCCATAAAGAACTGTAGGCAAGATAATTGTTTTATAGATTCTAATTTTTAAGTTTCGGGACAAGAGGCGCGAACTAAGTAGTTTTGTCACAGAAAAATAACAAGCATTCCCCGCCTTCAGTCTAACCTTAATCTCTTCTTCAATTTCGTTTTTTCTAGTTATCGTAGAACCTAGATACCTAAATTTATCTACCTGTTCAAACATATTACCATCTATATCGATATCACCAGTAGTATCGCCATTTTTGCAGCTAACCATATATTTTGTTTTATCCACGTTTATTTCGAGTCCTAGTTCTTTACCGGCTTTCATTAACGTTGTCGTATTTAGTTTTATAGTTTCAACGTCTTCGCTTAACAGTACCAGATCATCAGCATAGCCCAGCACGGATGTTGTCCCGCCCAGATCCAACCCTTTCTCGGTTCGCATTACCTCCTTAATGGCATGTTCTAATGCCAAATTGAACAGGACAGGCGAAAGAGAATCCCCCTGTTTTAAGCCCGAACGAACCTCAAATTTTTCGGACAAATTATTACCGATTCTAACTTTATTGAGTGTCTCCGTCAAGCACATCCTGACTAGATTTACTAGTTTTTTTGGAATCCCCTGTTCGATTAGAATATTATACAGTTTCTGGCGGTCAATAGAATCGTAAGCCTTTTTAAAATCTATATACAGCTGGTGAACAATACCGTTATACTCCAATTTTTTCTCTAATATTTGCCGTAAAGAAAATATTTGATCAATTGTCGAACGATTCCGTCTAAATCCGCATTGGTAGTCTCCGATAATTTCCTCGGCGTATTCCGTGATTCGACTGGTTAAGATTGAAGTGAATATTTTATAACATACCGGAAGGAGTGAAATTCCTCGATAGTTATTACAATCCGTCCTCGGACCCTTTTTGTGAATCGGAATAAGAATAGATTCTTTCCATTCTTCAGGTAATTTCTCGTTCACCCAGATCTTTTTAACCAACCGATGTATTTTAGAAACTCCAGCTTCCCCGCATGCCTTAATTAGTTCAGTAGGAATATTATCGGTTCCTGCTGCTTTATATGATTTTAATTTTCCGATAGCTACTTCAACTTCCTCTTTACTTGGTCCTTCTATTAACGGTTCAGCACTCTGGTACTCAGAAGGAGGACACAGATCATAATTTCCCGTATTTAAAATATTGTCAAAGTGGTCCTTAAACTTATTCAATATGTCAACCGGAACGGTCAGAATATTGTTATTATCATCCCTAATTCCAGACGTTAAGGGCCCTACATATTTACGTGATCTGTTTATACCTTTGTACATGTCTCTTACGTTATTTTCGATTCTATTAGTTTCTATTTCAATTATTTTATTTTTAAGATACTCTCTTTTTTTATTTTTGAGCAATTTTGTCGTTTCGTTCTTTGAGATTCGGAAGTATTCCAGATTGTCTTCGCTAGGATTATTTAGAGCTTTTAATTTAGCGGCTTTTCTTTTTTCACACATGTTTAAGCAATCTTCATCAAACCACGGTTTGTTATTCTTATTTTCCTTTTTTCCTAGACACGAGTTACCGACCGCTTTAATATTATCTCTGATCTCTATCCATAACTTGTCAATATCCTCGTGGTCCTCGTCAGGAAGCTCTAAAGCTTCAAACCTATTCTTAACTTCTAGCTCGAATTGGTTTCTAATTGATGGATTTTTTAATTTTTCCAAATTAAAATTCTCAAAATCGAAACGGTTTTCTTTTCTTTTTTTTATATTAAGTTTTTGTCGAAGTTTCGCGATTACTAATTCATGATCCGACCCACATTCTGCTCCGCGATAAGACCGTACATTAATTATACTGCTTTGCCAGCTGTGTTGTATCAAGACATGATCGATTTGATTTCGTGTTTGCGAATCCGGTGATGTCCAAGTATATTTATGAATATCCTTATGTTTAAACGTCGTACTTTTAATTATCAGGTTTTTCGAGATGGCAAAGTTTATCAGACGGATCCCATTATCATTACTATATTCGTGCAAACTTTCTTTACCAATCGTCGGAATATAAACTTCTTCCCTTCCTACCTTTGCGTTCGCGTCACCTACAATTATTTTCATGTAGTTTCGCGGTAGTTTATCATAAACCCATTCGAGTTTATCGTAAAATTCACTTTTGACTTCATCGTCACTGTCTTCGGTCGGACAATGTATGTTTATTAATGCGATTTTAAACCAACGTCCCTGAAATGTAGCTACCGAAATTCTATCACTAAAGAATTGTACTTCCCTCAAAGCGGATAGTAATCTATGCCTAATTAGAAACCCGGTACCTAAACAATGATTCTCGCTTCCTCCGTACCAAATAGTGTACTTTCCTTCCCTCATCGAGCCCTCCCCTGGCCAGCGAACCTCTTGCAGAGCCACGACATCCAAATTGTACCCATTTACCTCATTCGCGCCCGATTTTAGCCCCCCTGCTGTGTTTAAACTCCTTACGTTCCACGTACCAATATTTAAATCCCTATATTTCAACTTGCGCCATGAATCCCCTAAAGCAGTCCCCACCCGGAGACCCGAACGGGGGACTAGTTTACCTCCGGATAATGAGCGTTTTACCTTAGGGAGATCCATGACTTTTTGTGGTGTTTAGTGAACTAAAGATATGTGAGTAGGGCGTTCAATCCTACGTCACACCCTCCAGCAAGTCTGGTGGGCCCCTACCTCCAGCAAGTCTGGAGGTCCCCTCCCTCCAGCAAGTCTGGAGGGCCCCTCTCATTGTTGGTCAGCGAGTCCATCGGACTTAGCCGGGAGGAACTTCCAAGAAATTTCCACCGACCATCTCCACATCCGCCACCCGTGGGACGCTCCCCATACGCGGTAATGAGCCCGCGCGAGGATAACAGATAAAATACATAATCTAAATGTAAACAGATAAAATACATAATCTAAAAACACTCTATGAAAAAATTAAACGAAATTTTTGGAATAAATAGAAACATTTAAAGAAATACCTACTATGGATAGATGTATTTGTTAAATAATTAAATAAATTAAAGAGTTAAAGACAACGCTAAGGTATCGCGTCCATACTGATAGGCAGTTGTTCCTGGGACACTATGTTGACCATGATTTACCTTCCCTATTTTTCCACCCATTATTTTGAATATGTGTTCCGGCAAGAGTAGACAAAAGTACGAGGAGAAAATATAGAAGCTATTAATACAGTACATGAATTAGATATTTAGGAGGTCCTAAAATGTTATTATTCTCATTTTTCGAGGAGGATGTCAGATCAGGTATGTATACATACTCGTAGTGTCAGTTACTGGTGCTTTTACTTATAATTTGTTGGAGAAGGAGGAAGCAAAATACACAATTCGTATTACAATTACAATAATTATCACACAATTTCATTTATTTTTAGTAACTCATCATATTTGCCTAAGAGGTTCAATTCCATGTTTAAAAATAAAACCTTCTTACTAGGGACTATTTTATTCATGATGAAATTTAATATGAAGGCTTCAAAGGTTCCACTAGCTGTTTCGGCCCCACAGTGCACGGCGTATTTGACTAATCCAATACTCATAACTTGTAATTAAGGAAATAATATGAACGAGAATTAAACAAAATGATTTAATAAGTGAGAAAATAGGATAATTATGGCCAAAAAAAAATCATATTTAATAAATAACATCAGAGAAAAAGAGGTGTAAATAATTAACCAATGAGCAAGTAATAGGAGAAGTGGACATTCCTTGATCGGATTACTTGTCCAC